ATAATATAATATAATCATTATTTGTAATTACTTCAGTTATTATTTAAAATAATATTATTATATTCTATACCATAATTATATAGTATATTATATAATGATAGTTTTTTATATTATATTAAATATAATAATACATATATATTATATTGTAATTATATATATTATATTATAGTATAATATAATATAGTCGTACTTTTTAATTATCTACAGCAAAACAACTCCATAATTTATCAAACGCTATTACACTGATTTTGGAATCAGCATAGCTACTATAATTATAGTTTACCAAACACTTAACTGCCTTTTGTAACAGCTGTTTTTTCCTTCAATACAACTAAAAGTAATTTTTTCAAAATCTACAGTACTACCAAACTAAGCATAAGGTTTTTTAGTGGCCGTCCGTATGAAGAAAAGGAGGATTCATCATCTAAAAGGTATGTTTTATGAGCTAATGAGTAATTTAATTTGTTATATTAATAATATAAGTGTAGATCTTGGTTTACAAAAAAAAAATTTGAAACGGCTGAAGCTCCGATGGGTAACTCTCTCTTTCAGCATTCTAGTTATTCTTCTTATTTAGGGCTAGATTTGGGGGAATTTGAGGTCAGTGGGTGAAATTTGGGGAAAATTAGGGTTTTGGGTTCATAATTATTTAGGATTTTTGAGTTCTTCTGTTTGGCTTTATTGATCTTACTTAATCGTTGAATTTGTTGCCATTGAAGCATGGTTTTTTTTGATTGTTTTTTTTTTTTTTTTTTTTTTTTTTTGCTTATATTGCAATATGGCTTGGTCATGGAGTGCATTTGTTTGCTTTTTGGAAACTGGTCATGTTAAATGTTGATTGATTCTGTTTTTATATGTTTAGGTCCCGTTCATTTCACTAATTTGAATTTAGAATTCGAGTTTTGTTAAAGTAAAAAGTTCTCATAAACAGCCGCATCTAATTTTTTTACTATAGTAAAAAGTTATCGCATAAAATCACGTCTCAACTCGAATCAGCGAACTAAACGACTCTAAATTTGATTTCTGGTTATTTGATCAGATTTACACGTAATTAAGGTTTCTAATCCCGTGGACATAGAGATTAAGATAGACCAACTATAAACCTGCGAGCCTATGATTTGATTCAATGATTATGATAGGTTGAAAAGGCCTATTGGTTTAAGGGGGTGTTGATTAGTTTTGTTTTTGGTCCTGTATGGTTAATGATTTTCTGTTTCCAGATTTTGTTGTACATGTAGGCTTTGTTTGTAATTTTATATGAGAATTTTTTACTATAATAAAAAAAGTTAAATATAATTTTTTATTAGAGTTTTTAACTGTAATAAAATTAAAATTAAAAACTCGAATTGGTTAAATGAACGATACCGTAATTTCTGCTTTTCTTGTTTCGTTGTTGTTGCTTCTTAGCTTGAATCTGGTGGATTCCTCGTCTATTCGATTGTTAATGTATTTTTTTTTCATTGAAGTAAAATTTTCCAGTTTCTTATCCAAAAACGACATCCATCTCCATTTTAACAATGATTTACTGTCTTAGGCAGAGGCAGCCGAACTTATAGGCCCAAATAAGAGGAAACTAAACTCGGAACTACTTTCTATATTTATTTCATTAATCTTCCTTATAGTCTATAAAGGCAGAAGTGACAGCGAATCAGAATAACCAAACTGTTTAATTGTAAATGAGGGCGCCAGCAAAACATAGACTACTAACCCAAGCCCGGCCGAACTTATAGGCCCTCATTCATTGGGCTCAGACCCATTTCAAGCAAAAGCCCTAAACCAATTGAAGCAAAGCGACGTCGTTGCAGCCATCTTCCTTTCTTCCAGAGCATCGCCTTCTTGTGTTGTTTGGCAGTCGGGAAACCGGAAGAAAGAGGAAGAACGGAAAGGAAAATCCGAAAGCCGGTAAGCGAAGATGTCGTTCATGAAGGGAGATCTGCTCACGAAAACCAGAAAGCTCGTGAAGGGCTTGGCCATCCCGGAGCCTCGTTGGCTCAAAGCCATGGAACAGTTGGGTTCTTTCTCTCTCTTCTCTCTTACCCTTTCTCAAATCGCACTCTTTCTCGTGTTAATGCAATCAACTTCTTACAATTCAATTATTCATATTCTTCACTGATTTCTCTGTACGTGATTTTCCATTTCTCAGCGCACCGCCTCCGATTTTCCCTCGCAGCGACGGAAAAGTAAAGACGATCACTCTCCCAGAGGATGTTTATGTCAAAAAGTTCAACCATAGCCATCCTGATGCCAGATACGAAGAAGCCTACAGGTAATTTCTTCCATTTTTCCGCAAACCATTCTGTGTGTGTGTGTGTGTGTGTGTGTTTTTTTTTTTTTTTTTTTCTTTTTTTATAATGATAAAGTTTCTGCATAGCAAAACTATGTTTTTGCTTTTACTCATTATTAGAAATTAATTTCTCTGGACCAATTTTTGTTCAACGGTATCCGTGTAGGATGAAGATTTGATAAAGTCGTTTGAAGTCTTAAAATTTTGGAGTTTCAATTGCTTTTTCTTTCCAGTAAATCAATTTCTCGTATTTAATTGTGAATGCATAGAATTGCTCAATTTCGCTCGTATATTGCGGCAAAGATATCGATAAAACTGATTAGAAGTTCATTTGTGATCATTGGAAAATAATGCACGTCATGGAAAAACAGTGTCATACACTCAAGGAAACCAAAATATAGCTTGTTAGGACAAAAATAAATAAATCTGAGACGAGTTTTGCTCATAACCATTTTACTTTTCATTTTTAATGAATGTAAGGACTAGCTTAATTTACCCGAACCAATATTTAGTTAATCGTCTATTTTAGAATACGACGAAAGACATTTTGGAAGGCAATGCGTACAATATATCAGCATTTACTGGGTTTTGTGTTTGAACAGGTTTCGCAGTTTTGATCCTCCGCCAGGCCGGGTATTTGGTCAGCGGGTGCTGGAGTTGAAGGAGCAAGGAGTTGGCGAGGATGATGCAATTGCGGTAGCAGATGTATGTATCCGAATTTGTATTTTTTTATTTTTTGTCGACTTTGTCTATAGAATGAACTCTGTTGCTTACTGATTCTTTGGTGGTGATAGATGGAATACCAGGCAGAGAAGAAGGCGAAGAAGAAGGCATATTCTCGGCTGAAGAGAATTTCGCGTATTCTAGGGAAGAAGCCTCCTCCTAACCCGTACCCTAGTGCTATCAAAGAGATACAAGCTGAGGAGAGAAAGTATGTCCATGAGAGATTCTTCAACCCCCGGAGTAGAGACATAATAAGGCAGATGAAAGAGGAGAGATTCAGAGCTCTTGGCTGGTAGGCCTGTTTTGATAGTCAACAAGTTTTGGTTAGACTGAAGTTCTAATAATTTTATGCTCTTAAGGTTATTTGCCTTTTGAGGTTTAATTCAAAACATACTGCAAGTTTTTTGCGCAAAAAGAAACTACTTTTTTTTTTTTTTTTTTTTGGTCACAATGCACCTTTATAGAATGCTATGTGTTATGTTAACGATTGGTTCTGCAAGTAGATCTTTTGAGGTTTAAGTTATGATAATTTGATGGTTCGGGACTCTTGTTATATTTGTCGATTGGCTTCAGAGATTAGTCAAATTTCATTGCAAGCTTTTGCAGAAAGTAGCCAATTCAAATGTTATCATGCGCTTTCTTATGTTTGTGGTTTTTGTTATCAGTTTTTTCTCTGGGGTGAAAAGTTTGATGTTTTGTTCCCACACCATATCAAAGTAAGGGCGGCAAACACGAATTGTTTATTAAACGTGTTAAAAATGTGAACTCAAACACGATTTATTTATTAATTGTGTCAACTTGTATAACCCGTTTAAATTAATATATTAAATAAATAAATAATATAATAATGGTTTATTTAATACAATTAAGACGCGTTTAACATGTCTATTGGTCAATTTATCTTTTTTTTAAAAAAAAAAATAAATGAATTTGACCTACAAATATTAAAATTCACATTATTTGAATCTAATATGTCATATAAATTTTCATGTTATATCACATATAATTAGATTACAGATAACACATATAGTTAATCGTGTCAATTCGTGTCAGGAGGTCAATTCTAACCTAATTTATTTATTAATCGTGTTAATTGTGTCAATTCGATTATGATCCAAATTCATTTATAGTAAACTCAAACTCTTTAATTTTATGTAAATTTTAAATCATGTTGGCTACTCAAATTGTCAGCTAACCAGCAAAAAAAAGAGTACATTCCTCCGTTGACTTGTGGGCAGAAGACCTAGGCTCAGCCCGGCTTGGGTGCTTGCCGGCCTGGTCCATGTCTTTTTGCAGGCCATGCCGAGCCAAGTATTGGGCCATGGGCTGGCCCGTTTGCTCTAAATTAGAATAAAGGGCCCTCGAAAAATATATACCTTCCTCATTGTGCAAGGAATTCCTTTTTTTCCCTTTTCCCCTCCTCCCCTTTTCCCCTTTCTATTTCACTGTAAATTTCTACCGAGAAATTGTTAATTTATTAGTAAATGAACATGATTCCGGTATATAATCAAACATAGCCCACCAAAGAACACTCTTTTGTATATGCATGCCAGCTCACAACTTTTTATAATTCGGTCAGTTGTGTCTGTTTGGTTCATAGATTAGAATTATTTTCGATTTACGTGTATTTTTTGTGAAAAAAATATTGTAACAAATCATGAATTATGATTCGAATCAGAAAATGAATCCTCCAACCAAACAGGCTAGCAAAAAAAAAAAGAAAAAGAAAAAAACTTGCTCTATCACTCTTTCTTGATCTTGACCCAAGGAACAAACACCCTTAACACACCCTATCTATATAGATAGTATAGATAGATAAATAAAATTAGTCTTTTTAATAGAAATATAAATATAAATAGATAAAAATGGTTGATGAATAGAATGTTGCCAATTGAGGTTGTGTGGAACAGCATCCAGCCACCTCAGCTCCAAAATCTCACACACTTCCAATTTTAGTCCCCACATTTTTCCCCCTTTCTTGACCCATTCAAAATCCCTACAAACAAAACAACTTGCAAAAGTGGCACACCATTTTTATCTGCAAACCAAATCACACACCAATTTCCTTTGCTTTCTTTTCCTCCACAACAGCCATGGAAGCAGCTTCCACAGCAACTTCAGCCATCAACTTCCTTTCAACCACCAAAAAACTAACCAACCCAACAAAACTCCTCACATTTGTCAACATCTCCAAATCCATTACCAAACCCAGAAACAATTCTCTCTCTCTCTCCTGCTGCTCCACAAAACCCGACACAAACACTGACAATGTCGGAAACCAAGATCCCACCTTTGACATTGGCCTAAATTCAGAACAACCCAAATCGCCAAAACCCAATTCAAGCGACCAACTTTCCTCTCTCTCGCCATCTTCCGCGTCTTCCTCTGGTGGGTTGGTGTTTGATTTGGGAATTGAGAACTCATGGGACAGCGCGGAAATTGGGTCTCCGGTTGTGAAAAGGTTTCTAAGCGATGAAGAAGAGAGATGGTACATGTGGTACCACGGCAGATCATCAAGATCAAAAAACGACTCAGAAAACCCATGTTTGGATTCGGTCGGATTAGCGGTTTCAAGCAATGGGGTCCACTGGGAGCGAGGTGTGGGACCGGTCCAGGCCAGCAGGGATGTGGGTTTTGTGATGAGTTGTGGCAAAGATTGGTGGGCTTTTGACACTCTAAGCATTAGACCTTCTAAGGTTGTGATAATGTCAAGCTCAAAGGTCAGAGTTTCTAGTGCAGTTTATTGGATGTACTACACTGGGTTCAGTTCTGAGGAGATTGATATTGATATTTCTGATGAGTCTTTTAAATTCAGTCTTGAAAACCCAGAAAGGTTTTTTGGAGATTTTGAGGGTGGTTCAACTTCAAGTGGTAAAATTCACAAGTCTTTACCTGGTTTAGCAATTAGCCAAGATGGGAGGTATTGGGCTAGAATTGAAGGTGAGCATCATAGTGGAGCTCTATTTGATGTTGGGGCAGAAAAGGAATGGGATTCCTTGTTCATTGCCTCACCACAAGTTGTTTTCCATGGGAATGGGGATTTAAGGATGTACTACCACTCATTTGATGTTGGGAATGGGGAGTTTTGCATTGGAATGGCTAGGTCAAGAGATGGGATTAGGTGGGTGAAGTTGGGGAAGATCATTGGTGGTGAGAAAAACACTAGTGGTGCCTTTGATGAGTTTGGAGCGCTTAATGCCAATGTGGTGAGAAATAGGAAAGATGGCAAGTACTTGATGGCATATGAAGGGGTTTCTTGTAATGGAGAGAGAAGTATTGGTTTGGCAATGTCCCAAGATGGGCTTAAGAATTGGACCAAGTTTAGAGATGGGCCTGTTTTGAAGGCTTCAGAGGCCCAAAATGGGTGGGACAATAGAGGGGTAGGATCACCTTGTTTGGTTCAAATGGATGGAGAAGAAGATGAGTGGAGATTGTATTATAGAGGTGTTGGGAATGAGGGAAGAACAGGGATTGGAATGGCGGCTTCTCATGGGAGTGATTTTGGGAGGTTTACAAGATGGACAGGATTTCACATGTAAGGTTTTGTTATACATGTAATGTGTTTGTTATTATTGTGATTTTAAGATGGGAAAATTTCAATCATTATTATTATTGTTTTGTTGGTCAAGAATAGGATGAAATGGGTGTTTGTTTTGTTTGTATGGACTAGTCAATGAAGTGCAGTGTAATTAACGAAACCCACAGGACACACCCGGGAGACGTCTGGGGCCCTTCAGGGTAAGGGGCTCCTCCAGGGCCTCTCTAGGGCCCCTTCGGGGGCACCCCTGTGCCCCCCCGGGACGCCCCTGGCGCCGCCACGGGACGTGCCTGGGGCCCCCCCGAGACGTCTCTGAGAGTCCCCTGGGAAGCCCCCGAGGCACCACCGGGACACCCCCTGGACACCCCCGAGGACCACCCGGGGCACCACCGGGACACGCCCGGGAGATCCAAGTGCCAATCACGGAAATATATGAACGTTTAAAGGTTAAAAGCTGTAAAAATAAGATTATCTCTAAGTACTCATCACATACCGCATTGTTCAATCAATTTAACATTTGACACTAATCCTAAGGAGCCTTTCTGATTTAAACTGGCTTTGCAACTCTGACATACACGTTAGTGTTGTTGTAGTAGCCAGCCCCTGACTTATCCTCATTGTCAAGATCAAGTTCTGAATCCGACTTTACTTCTATATACATAACTTGACAGTATATAGCCTAAAATTTGGTAAATCTACCTAGGATGTATTAGTGAGCAACTATCAACAAGATATAATCAGAACCGTAGATAATTTTTAGGAAGGTTGAAGAAGCAAAATCAAGCTCCTGATTAATTCAAGCAAAAAAACAAAAAAACAAAAAAACAAAACAAAACAAAATTAAATATTGGCTTAGTAGTGGCTACTACTGTTTGGACTTGGATCCACAAATAAATGTTGGCCCAGTTGTGGTGGAGTCATATATGGGCTCTTCACACATATAGCAAAGAGAAAATTGTATACCCTTAAACACATCTTTTTAGAGTTTTATTGTAATAAGTTATTCTTTGATAATAATTTGTTAAATTATAGATAATAATTTATCAAATTTTAGACATTAATATGTTAAATTATGCCCGCTGATGATATATGTCAAATTATTAATAATAATCTGTTAAATTACTTATTCTAAAGAGGTAAAATTTAATAAGCTAATGTTGAGACCCAAAAATCATTAAGATAATAACTATATCATTTTGTTATATTTATAATATTATGAAAATTTTGTAAAATTTCAACTCAAGGTATGAACATGTAATTCTCATATATGAAGCGGGCCGTGTGTGATCCGCTATAGGCATGAATGGCAAAAAGGGCCCAAATAATAACACTTTACACCTAAATAATCTTGTAAAGTTTAATGTTTATAAGATTGAAATTGAAATAGGGAGAAATAGGAAAATAAGCCAAGACTTGAGATGAATTAAAATTAATAGGCCAATAGTTTACATAAGTTAATAAATAGACTAAATTACTATTTTTGTCCATAACTTGTCTGGTTATGAACCATAATTTGACAAGTTATTATCCATTTTTGTCCATAACTTGTCTGGGCTATGAACCATAACTTGACAAGTTATGGCCTATTAATTTCTATATCTAAAAGTTAGCCTATATACTTTCTTAAACTTTTCATATTGGCCTATTTTTTACTATTTTCGATTGAAATATTTAAGCAATAGAAATTTAAGTAGGAATTATGTAATGACTTTCACATTTTATGATAAAAATTATTTTGTAATTATTATAATGATTTTAATTTTGGTTATTTTTAAAAACTTTTTAATTTTTGCTATATTTTAATATGACTAATAGTATTATGCTATATGCCTAATTCCTCAATTCTCTTTGAGTATTAATCATATATTAGTGTAAAGTTATTTAGTAATATATATATATATATATATATATATATTGTATGCCAAAACTCATTTAAATATGCATCGAAATATTAGATAGAACATGTCGATCGGAACTCACTATAACAAATAAAACAACACAACAACAACAATCAAAGAAACTCAGCTAATTGAAAATGAGGAAATGAGACAAAGTTTTGACTTTTACTCTTACTCTTTATTTTTATCTTTTTTAGTCAAATGACTTTATTAATTAAAAGTAAAAGATAAAAATTCAAACTCATGTACTCTTAATAAGTCATTAAAAATTGATTGGGATTAGCCCATGTAGTGAGTCTTTTAGATAGCAGTAAAAAAACTACAGATTACTACAATTTAATACAAATTAATAGTGATTGAAAAAAAAAAAAAAAACAGACATTTCTTACAAATTACAACAATGAGTGGGGAAAAAAAAGATCTCAAAAGTACTTCTTCAAATTTCGTAAAGCTCTGCATTAATTCATTTGAGGGGAAAAAAAAAGTTCATCCGTTTGCTATGATTACTTTATCCAATTTTTCACTTCACAAATTTATTGCACAGAGACAAACTAAGCTAGATAACAAGTAGCATCCATACAAAAGTGTGCACAGTTCTATCTAAAGAGGAAAAACTAAGAAGAGCGGATCTGCAATGAATTGAAGCAAGAAAACAAAAAATAAAAATAAGAAATAAATAATTTGCAAGGAGACAAATTAAGTAAAGAGTGGAATAATGTGTGTTCTGAACTCAAAGCAAAACAAGAATGATAAAATTAAGTAACATGATCTGAAGAATGCATATAATTACCTCCAAGCCAGAATTAGAAAATGCCCTTCCAAGCCAGGACTTGAATGAAACAGCAGAGAAGAAGGATTATGGTCCGTTCACTTCGCTGATTCGAGTTTAGAATTTGAGTTTTTCTATAGTAAAAAGCTCTTACAAACAATCACATCTAAATTTTTTATTACAGTAAAAAGTTCTCACATAAAATCACATCTCAACTCGAATTTTAAACTCGAATCAGCGAAGTGAACGAGCCCGCAACAAGACAGTATTTATAACAAAGTCCAGTGAGAAAATAAAATAAAATAAAATAATAGTATTTATAAGTAGCTGGGCGAGGAATTCTAGGCATTTTCTTCCCTAGGCATAGAGCACTCAAGTGTTTGGACTATATAAAATGTATTCATACACGCAATCCGAGAAGTAACGGGTAAATTACATACGATTTGGTCCACATTTCGTCAATATTGATCAACGTATATATCGAGAATCGATTGATGCTCAAGTTATGAGAAATAGTTTTTTTTTTTTTTTTTTTTTTTTTTTGTAAGAAAAAACGAACTGTAGTTAAGTGTTTAGAAATAAGTTTTCAAGTGTATTCCAAATTATCGTAAATCTTTTCAGAGACAATACCTTAATTTATTTAATGTGAAACGTAAATCATTTTAGAGACAAGACCTTAATTTATTTAAGAGAAATAGTATAAAATATGTCAATATGAAAAGTTTAAAAAAGTATATAGGTTAACTTTTAGTTATAGAAATTAATAGGTCATAACTTGTTAAGTTATGGTTTATAACCAGATAAGTTATGGACAAACTTATCAAGTTATGGTTCATAGTTAAACAAGTTATGGACAATAACTTGTCAAGTTATGGTTCATAACCAGACAAGTTATGAATGAAAACAGTAATTTGACTTATTTATTAACTTGTGTAAAGTGTAAACTATTGATCTATTAATTTTAATTCATCTCAAGTCTTGACATATTTTTCTCTTTCTCCCTTTATTTAACGTGAAATCTAAAAGGTGGATTATATACGTACGCAAATCTTGTTATCAAATAGTTATGATTGGCTACATTATAAATTGCTCAAATTAAATGTGTAAGAACAGTCTAATTAATTGTAAGTCTTCATTCTAGTCATAAATTGAGAGTTTAAATCACCCTAACCTCATTTAAAAGTGGTGACATTCTCCTCTTTTTATATAAAAAAAAATGTTCAAATTCATTTGAGTTCTTGTATATAAATTTCCGAATTTTACTAAAAAACGATATTTAATTATGCACTATATTGTGCTAAGTCATTGAATCAAGCGAAAGAGCCCCAAAAGGAAATTGTATAAAGCAATATATTTATATGGCAACTTTTATCGTGAGACCCTAAAAAAACCTCTTCCAGTGGAACTCATGCTTTTAACTATTAGATTAATTTTTTAACGGACGGATTTATAACAGGAGCAGGAGCAGTTATGTGTGGCATATTATAAATTTTTTAATGCAAACTTTACACAAATCTAACCGTTAAAAAATTAAACCATCTATTAAAAGTGGGGATTTCATCGGTGGATTTTTTTTAAGAGTTCCACCATAGAGGTTGTCTATTTATATATCTATAATCTATAACCATATATTAAAGGGGAATGCACTTACTATTCATCTAGACACAAAAGAACTATTTACAATTTTTGTTAAGTTATTTTGTCTTCTTTTGCGCCACGTGTCAATTTTTAATTCGGTGATTTTTAGTGGAATACACGTATCGTTGCATAAATGATTCATCATTTTAGTTTATCACATGTCCAAATAGTATTTGTTAAAAAAATGAGCTCATGTGAATCACGATGCAGGGAATCAAACGTTGATCAAAAGTGGCCGACAAAAGCGCCACGTGTTGCGTTCTAATTGACTGATGAGAATCACAGTGGGGCTCTCCTGATGCAGGCCTACTGCTCCACTCACCTTTTCTGCGCGTACTGTTCACGCACACATCAAAACCATTGATAAGCTTCATCCGACGGCCGAAATAAAATTTTATTTTATTTATTTATTATTATTATTACTTATTATATTTATATATTTATTTATAACTAATTTGTGGTCCGATTTTATTTGTCTTAACACCTTTTTGTACTAAATCTCTTCCATATTACTAAAATAAAAATACTATGAATAATTTGAATAAAAATAAAAATAAATAAAAATGCACTAAAATAAAATAAATTAAATAAAACGAAATAGAACTAATACAAAACACAACAAAATAAGTTAAAAACATTTTTTTGTGTCTTTTTAGATCTTTTTCTCGCTTTTGTCTTCATTCCTTTTATGTCCTTTTTTTCTTCTTTCTCTTTTTTTTTTAAAAAAAAAAAAAACAACAATTAATATAATTGTTATCTTAAATAAATGACGCGCGAAGTGCGGGTTAAAGACTATTGATACAAATAAATATGTTATAATCAGTATTAATTGATCATGTGTATATATATAATCAGTTTTGGATTGGTATGTATTGCACCATGTATCATGATAATAATCATCCAAATTAATGGTAATTTATAATTAGTTGAAACACATCTCTGATCTATGATGAAGGATTATATAATAAAGTTGGCTATACTATGAGTAATTTTGTTTGACAATCATATTTACTTACATCATTGAATTTGCACTTCACCTGTCTGTTTGGTGCGGAGGATAGGATAGTATTGAATAGAAGAATTACAAGAAATTGGTCAATAGGATTACATCATGTATGGTTTCAATCCCTCACTCTTTGTGATAATTACAGTAACGTAGAAAAAATATACACCATATATCATAACTTCCCATGATGTTTCTTCTTTTTTTTTTTTTTTTCTTTTTAAGGGACCAGGTCCACGATATTTGCTTTAGTTTCATTAAGAACTCCAGCATATATCAATCATGTATTATTCCACGGCGTTCCAGCTGAAGCTGATCTCATGAGATCTCTCAGTTAATTTTTCTTTAATAACTTTTGTTTAAAAAACAAGCCAAGCATATCAGACAGCATATATATTGTTCTTGAATTATACACACACACACACACACACACACACATATATACATATATATATATATATTCATTTACATATCATGTAATCACATGCATATTTACGCAAATAATTAAACAATTATTTACTTATTTTTTTATGAGGTGTCCTGAAACTAATGATTGGTTTGAAGGGCGCAGAACACACACACACACACATATATATATATATATATATGTATATGTATATTGTATGGGTAAAATGGCATGTCATTGCTTTTCACGTTTTCGGACCATTGGCACTGAGAAAATTGCAAACGAGATTAAGTTTTAGAACATGGATATTTGTCACTTTAGTGTAACAATTAATGGATTCAACCACATTAGTTGAGTTAAGATATACGAACATTATTTCTATACTGCTATAGCATTTAAGCAGTCCATGCCGTTTTGATTATAATATATAAATATACAAAGCTAACTGCATTGATTTCGATCATCGATCAAGGCTAGCTTTATTTTTTATTCGCACGTATTCTTTGGTGTATATAGGTCTACGTCTAAATATACATAATTACGTTGTTATATAATATTATATATATGTGTGTCATATATATATAAATATGTAGCCGTTAGTGGTTATTTATAAATTCACAAGACATATGTATGTATGTATAAGATGCCTCGCAATTAAATAATGATCAATATATCCACAGCCATATACGAAAAGAAGTTAAAGAAGGGAGATTGATGGTTCCACGTCTATCTTTACACAGTGTTACATAATTATTATATTTATACATATGGTCATATAATAGTTATATTTAAAATGGTGTCTAACAAATTATATTATATTAAAAATTTTAAATACTAATTAATTAATTTATTTATATTTTTATATTTAAGTCTATTAAATGACGTCATATTATGAGACACAAAATTAAAATTAAAGAGGTGGTTTGAATCTACATACATATAATTAAACTATAGATTAAAAACCAGTCTGAATTATCAAAACAAACGTGTGAAATGAAGGGGAATACCAGTATGTGAAAGGAAGAGAAATGCTAGTGTTGCTCGTTCAGTGACCATTCTTTTTATTATTTTCTGCATTCATTGTTTAATATATGAAATCTAGTACTATCTCATTTTTTACTAAAGTAATAATATATTATGTTAATAGAGTTCATCATATGTCAAGCAGTGAAATGTGCAATATAAAATAATATTATTACGAGTAATATTATAGGAAATGTCTTCCATCCGGCAGACAATATTTACCTGACTGATTCGGCGGAAGACATTATACAAGATTTATGTTAAATTACACAACTATCGTATGTAAATATACAAAATATATGATGAATTGTACAACTTGTCATATAACTTATACATATTTACAATTGTATAACTTTTATATGTTAAATTATACGAGGCGTATGCTAAATTGTACAAGACATATGTTAAATTGTACAATGTGTAAATATACAAAATTTATACTTTATTATACATATTTACATATAAATATATACCATTTATGCTGAATTGTCCGTTTCAATCCGGTTAATAATAAATGGCGATGTAAATACTTTGCCTAATATTATATATACATATGTATATTTACGCACACAAATGTATAAGAGTGCAGGCAGAATCGAGAGTGTGACATCCGTAAAGCACCTGCATCCTATAACATTTCCTATAGTTATGATTGCCTCAGGGGGAGATCGGTCTATTTCTTCCAATCAGACTGTCACGACTCACATTAAATACAATTAGAAAGAGACAGTCAATATTCATTACTGCTCTGACCCTCGTCCATTAATGCATCTTCAACGGACGTCCACTACTACTACACAGCTAGCTAGGATAAAGTTATCGCCAACAAAACCTTTTACTTTGTACGTACCGATCATCGTTACTCTAGCTTTATCTTTTATTAATAACGTTTGGTATTTAACAAAATTACTTATCAATATACGTCCTTGTGACAACGGTAATTCACATTATTCCCATCGTACGTATTGCCAAATTAACGTTGATTAATTGGTAGCATCAGTTTTTTTTTTTTTTTACCGTAGGTTAAAATGATAACAGTTTACTTTTTGTGTATGTGTATTATACAGGAGTATTTCTATTCATTTTGATGGAGATAAAAAATCTCGCTACTCACAAAACGTGTTTTGTTTTGTTAATTAACGAGTGTTCAAACCAGCTTGTCAGCGCACGCACTTCGATTAATCTACAAAACTTGTAAACCGTATTATCAAAAACGTTTTCTACACAGATCAGAGAATGTTGATAGGTTTCGCTACTATTTAATTCCTATTTAGTATCCATTATCCGGACATTAGGTCGTAAATTTAGATGCATTAGATGAAAAATTAGTGTGAGAGAAATAGTTTATTTGAAAGATTAATATGCATGTATCTAGACTAACTAGGACAATGTCCTGGTTTGCGAAAAGACGTTGGCTCCTCTGTAATGAATTTAATTCTGTGTTGCTTTGCACCTACAGATGGGAACATGATTAATATTGTAACGGGTAAAGAAGTACCGGCGATTACTGAATTGCGTTTGCTCTCGATCTAAGGTGTTGTTTGGTTGGGGGATTCGTACCTCGATTTAAATCATAGTTCATAATTCGTTACAGTATTTTCTCTCATAAAAAATACACGTAAATCGAAAATGATTCTAATTTATGAACCAAACGTCTTCTAAAAATAGAGAGTACTGCGTTCATTGCGCTACAGTGACTATCTCCTTCTCTGCTCATGGTTTTTGACAGCAGTAGTACTCGATCGCGCGAGATTCTGTAACACTGGCACACTATTCTCTTGACATATCCATGACTGAAATTTTTGTCATAGTACATTGAGAATTTTACATTAGGATTTTCCATATGTTGGCTTTTTTAATTGGAATCTTCCATAAGTTTTTGAGTGCTTTTTAATTAATTTAATATGATTTTAATTAGATCTAACTTTTAGAAACACGAACTGTCATAATTAATTTCTGTTATCATATAGTCTTATTATTCTATTTCAAAATGATTTGAAATCTTTAAATACAATTGTTTAATTTTATGTATGATGATTTAGCATTCAAAAGTGCATGTTATCTATTGGGTTTTGATATGATCTAACATTTTATTTTTTTTAATAAAGAAAAATACATTAGTTATTAGATTTTGAGATGATCATCCGAAATATGAATGTAACACGCATGTTATAATTAGTAGGTTTCTTCTACTTATATATAAACACAAAATCCTAGATCATATAAACTAAAGATCAACTGACTGAGATTCATCGTGACCGTTTCGTTCAGTCCAACAATATAATGAAGTGCTCGTGCATGGTACAAGTTGCACATGTTTGCCATTTTTTAATTAAAAAAAGTCACCATACAACATATACTATATATATACATATATATATATATATATATCATGTGTTAAATATTGTTATAGTTCGTTCCATTTGACAGTTTAGCTCGATCTGGACTAAGTCTCATGCCATAGTTAATGGTAAAACTAACTTGGTATTATATAACAGGAAACAGAAATTTCCAAGCTGAGCTTTTAAGGTGACGTGAGGGGAATAAAGAAATAAGATCTCATCTATTTTATCGATTCGAGTTTTACTACAGTAAAAAACTTTAAAAAACAATTATATTTAACTTTTTTACTATAATAAAAAGCTTTTACATAGAATAACGTCTCAAATCGAATTAAAAACTCAAATTAACTGTTAAAAATGAAATAGAGAAATTAATGCTAGTGATAAGATGTTCACGTGATGAGTTATTATACGATCTTAAAACGAGTACTTAGATTGTCATTAAAACTAGAACTTTTTTCCTTATTATTAGTATACTAGTTAAGTTGAATTATCATCCCTGCTTAAGATCAGGTATCATCTTTTCTTCCATATTGATCATTAGCATTAATCTAAATTAAGATAGTAACTAGAATATCGCTAGAACTTGAACTAGTACACAAACTGCAAACTATCATGTCAAAACACAGGCGACCCAGTCGGCGAAGCGTTAACCAAATTCAGTATGCTGTTCCAGTAGCTCTTGTTCTCCTCAAATATTCCACTGGCCCCGGCACAGCTTCCGTCGCTGCCGCCATTATTACCGCCTTCTTCGCCGCCGTCCGCAGACGAGTTCGGCTGGTCATCGTTGACGGAGTTGTACCCAAACACGTCCGCAAAACCTTCCATGATATTAGCAAGTCCATGCACACTATTAGTACTGGTGGTTGACGTTATTGTCGTTGTTGTCACGTTCTCAATATTATTCCCCGTCCTGAAACCCTCCACAAACCAAGCACTGGCATTGTCCGTACAGCCAAAAGCAATGTCTTGCAACGACATCGTATTGTTCTGGTCATGGTGATGATCATCGAGAGAGTCCACGCCGAACCCGACGGCGGCTTGAACCGCAAAATTGGTGGTGACGGTGGCGGTGGCGCTGCCGCTATGATCGGGGAAATTCAACGTGGATGTCGGAGATTCTAGGTCATCCATGGCCATCATACACGCCATAATATTGTTGTTAGTGTTGTTGTTGTTGTTAGTGGGCTTGGTCAACCACGCGCCTTGCCAGGCCTTGAGCACGTCGAGGCACGGCGGCACGGCGGCGGCTTTGGGGAGGAACTGATGGGCCGAAGCTGAGCCGAGCTGGTGAGACACTAGAGGGTTGTTGTTGTTGTTGCTGGAGACTAGTAGCTTGGATTCCCTGACAAGTCTTGCTTCGGCTTCGAGCCGAGCGCTCTCCCACTGAGCCATGTGGCTCAAGTTGGCGGCGTCCTTGGGGTTGCCGGTGCCGGAGCCGAGGGCGTTGGTCTTCGGCTTGTGAGTCACCGGATCAATCCCCATCTTGGTCAGCCTCTTCTTCAGGTGGGTGTTCCAGTAGTTCTTGATTTCATTGTCCGTTCTCTTTGGCAAGTGAGTTGCTATAGCAGACCACCTATAAATTATAATCATACAAAAGAAAATCATTATTATCACATTAAATAATAAGGAAAAAAGATCCTGAGAATAACAAGCTAGGGCTTTTGTGATTTGTGATATTATTTATACGTACGATGTTATTATATGATCTATTGTGCGATCACTTTCTTTGTAAGGATATAATGGACTAGCTAGATGAGAATAAGAGACGAGAAAAGCAGTGGCGCGGGAGAAATTAATGGAGAAAATCATAATATTCATTAATTAGATTCTACTGAAACTTTCAGAAGTGTATTTATAATATTATTTAATACCATCTTATTTTCATTTTATTTAGAAATTAATATTTACCTGTTACCAAGAAGAGCATGGAGTTGGATAATGGTCTGTTCTTCTTGCAAACTAAACTTTCCTCTTTTGATATCAGGTCTAAGGTAGTTTGTCCACCTTAGTCTGCAGCTTTTCCCACATCTTTGAAGCCCTAGACATGATCATAAACAGAGAAAACATCACTCAAAAATAACTTTAAAATAAAGCAAATTAAGCTACTACTATTATTACCCAATACACATATATACTATATATACATGTATATACTGAAGAAGTTGTGAATTATATTAAGAAATAATTATTACCAGCTTTTGCAGGCAAGGCTCGCCAGCTTCCATGACCGTGTTCTTCAATATAAGCCAATAGCTTCTGGTCTTCTTCAGGAGTCCATGGACCTTTTTTCAAACCTACTTTCTCACAGCAAGGAGACCTTCCCATAATTTTCAGCTAAATCCCAAAACCCAAGTAGAAGAATTAAGCTAAAGTTTTCTTTTGTCCGAGAGAGAGAGAGAGAGAGAGAGAGAGAGCGTTACTAGAGAACACGTAAATGGAGATTTAGGAAGAAAAAAAGTGTGAAAGAGATTGGGGAAAATGAAACGAAGCGGTGCAATATATATAGGAGGTAGAGTAACAAATAAGAGGATGAGTTATATCGAGGTATAAGTACAAAACATAAAAATAAATAAATAAAAACTTTAATTTTGATGACCAATATACCCTCGATTTGCTATTCGTATCTAGCATTGTTATAGCTAAATCTGAGTACGGGCAAGAAATAATATAATGGTGGTCCAGCTTGTGTTACGAAGCACGTGCAAATACCGCGGGTACATATACATATACAGATACATATACATATACGTATATCATGATATATTACTTGTCTTTATTTCTCTATCGGCACAAAAGAAAACAAAAAAACAAAAACAAAAACAAAAACAAAACAAAAAAACAGAAAACAAAATGTATGTAAAAACCTTCTCACATAAAGTAGGTCGTGAAGCTTTATGCATACTATTACTATGGCTCATACATACAAATTCGTAATTCGTCAAATGTTAATATTTTCTTTCCTAATTTATTATGCTTGCGATATGTGAATTACTGTGAAGATTTTAATTAAAGATACACTGATCGAAGTTCTTATAACTCTCTTTGATACTACTATACTAGGCATATTAATTTGGAGATTATTTACAAGATCATGTTAGTCTTGACTTCATTCTCTTGGGATGACTTTCGGCTTTTAGCTCTTTTAGGTCCCGTTCATTTTACAATTCAAGTCACATATTATACTTTTATTATAATATTTTCTCTCACAAAAATTTAAATTCAACTTTTTATATTACAGTACTTTCTCTCATATAAATTTACTTTCAGTGCCTATTTTGAAGAGCTTCCTGGCTTCATGGGTCCAAAAGCTGCTTCTGAAAGTGTTTGGATGATTTATCAGAAGTGTTTTGACTTTTTAGAAGAGCTTCTAGTCAAAGCCAAAAATTGTGGCTTCTAAAAAAATACTTATGAATAGACTTTAAAGCTTGTACCAGAGTTTAATTAAGACATTATAAACTTAATTTTAACATTTTTATTGTTTATTAAAAAATTTAAAAATCACTTTGACCCGTTAAGCTCTTTATTCTAAATACTTACTAAAAAGTTACAACTTTTATTTTTCTTCTTCTACTGATTAAAAACAAAAGTACAAACTCTATCAAACGGACCTTTAGTCCTTTTTATCTTTGTGATTGTATTTTGACTTTCTTAGCTCCTTTGCATTTGTAACAAAGCTATTTGTTTTTTTACTTTTATTATCTAATAAATTCTATATATCTAGAGAGAGAAGACATATATCACAACTATTATAGGATCCAATTCCTCATAGTTCTTTGACTTGATAAGAATTTATGCATGCGTGAAGTTTAAGTGACCTTCATATAGTGAATTATGTCCTTCGCTCCATTCTTTATTGAAAATTGAACAATACTGCGTAAATGAATTTCTATATCATATGGTAAAGAAATGTTGGCGTTACAAAACAATTTTTTGTACGACCATCAATATTTTATGAAAGTTATAAACTAAAGATTCTTTAAAATAAATATCAATTAATTCCTTAGTCCGTGGAATCCAACTAGAGTCTTACAAGTTAGCAGCAAAAAAAATATTCACATAATATTTATTTAAAAAAAAAAACTGCAGACGTCTTTGGGCTTTGTTACATCACGTGTTCAACATAACACAACTGTACAGTGTCCGTTACCATTCAAACTAAAAATATGGCTAATAATAAAGCGTGTTAAGATAATGAATTCTTTTAACTGTCATTGTTCTTCATAATACCCACCCTGAATTTTCAAAGGTTTGCCTCATTGTCTCATACAATTTCAATAATGAGCATATATCTATTTATATAAATAAGTTTTTAATTGTTACGTCTACATTAATAATCACAAATTGAAAGAATCACTAGATAAATGTCTATTAACTTGTCCTATACATATAAAATAAAGGGAAGAGAAACATAAGAGGCGCTAATCCGGCAATCTTCATCATATAAATGATTCGCAGTACTAAGATAAATATGTCTATTAACTTGTACTATACATATATCTTTATTAGTTTTTTCCTCTTTCTTTCGTACAAATGAAAGAAAAAAAAAAAAAAAAAAACCTTTTGACGTACTCATAAAACCTGAATTGTATGTTTCTAACTTTTTACATAGAATCTAATACATTTGCTTGGAAATATCAGCCTTTTCTTTTTCAACAATTGGGAATCTTAAGTAGGGCCTAGCTAGGATCGTACTCTAATATCAGACCCTGCAAATATATGGAAGCTTTTCATTTAAGTCCTCCTGATCTCGGATTCAAACCATATAATTATCACATGATAACCACTTTATCCAAAAGAAAAAGGAAAATCACACAAATGAAGAATAATAAAGAACGAGCTAGATACTTGGTAGTGGCAAGTTTTGTCTACCATTATTCTATTACAAAAAGTAGTCTTGCGTTGAATTCACATTTTTAAAAGGGCGTTTAGTATGCATGAATCAGTAAAAATCATATTTTTAAGAAAATGATAGAGAGTAATATGATTCATAGGAATAATATATTACTGTGTTTGGTTCTATACATGAATCTTTTTTAAATTCCCATGAATATTACATTACTGTGTTTGGTTGTTCGCATGGAAGAAGATCTATAATAATAATAATAATAAAAATAATAAAAATAATAATATTATTATTATTTAATATTATTATTATTTAATAATAATAACAATAAGATTCCCATGATTTTGAGATTCCTGAGAATTTGAATAATACCATATTGGGTGGTATTCAAATTATCTTAAAATGATGAAAAGTGAATCCCATGGTAATCACTTTTCTGGGAATCTAAAAATTATAATTCTTGTACCAAATATAGTAATATTACAGATTCTCATTCTCATCTTTAAGATTACTGCATATTAAACGCCTCTTAATAGAGTTCAAATTATCCCTACCTAGCTCGCTAGCACCCATAATTTCTTTTTCTTTTTTTTTTTTTAAAACCTGAAAAAATAAACCCAGGTTTTTTTTTTCCCCCCAAAAAAACACTCGTATTGTGAAAACTAGTACAGTGGACCAATGCGGGCATTTAAGAGAGCTAGGATAGGTGCCCGTCTCTAGGGAAGTACACGCTATATATTTTGGATTCAAGAAAAGTGAATAGTGTTTGTCAATACATATCTGTATCCCTAATAAATTCATGACAATATGGCACCCATATATAGCATATACCAGCGTAAAAGTTGGGCAAAAATTTATTCATGTGATTATATGTTTTCTCTCTCATATAATAATCTAAATCTTGATATAATTAGCTAGCTAGGGTATATATATGCTATAGTACTTTATCAAAATTGGAATATGATTCTGCAGTCCTACAAATTAAATATTATAGCGATTCAAACTCATAGCATATATATATATATATATATATTATGGTGGCTTAAAGCGGCCGCAACTGTACTTTTTTTTTGGGAACATGTACATATATAATTTGAGGTGGAATTGTATCACTATAACCCTCTATTTTCCTTCAAATTGAAAAGAAGGGTTTCTTAAATTGGAAATATTGAGAGAGAAGAAGAACTGATGAACTGAGATAGCAGAAAATTAAAACACCTAAATATGACACAGCCTCGCATTGAGTTGATAGAATGGATACTGGGGTCACCTTCTTATTTTCACAGTTTTATTCCTGTCAGAATCTACTTTTATTATGGTCCCGATTTGTCATCGATCTAAAGAGTTTGACAGGAAGGATCTTTAATTAGGCTTAAAACAAAAAACAAAACAAAAAACAAAACAAAAACAACTCTCTCTCTCTCTCTCCTCCATTTCTCATGTTTTAATTTATTTTCCTTTAAAATGGAGTAGTCTCCATTGAAATTCTTGCAAATTTTAAGTAAATTAATTGATTAGTCCTGATCTCCTACAAACTAAACTTATTTTATTTTATTTTATTTTTTGTCATCAGATTATTCCAAGAGTTTGAAGCCCATCTTAATTGTAAAAACTTTTGGAAGATGGAAATCCAAACTTTTTTACAAATTTACAACACAAAACAAAAGGTACTCGTATAGATATTGGAAACATAAAACGAAAAGGAAAAAAGCAAAACCAAGCTTCGATTATTTTCTAACGAGAAAAAAAAGGCTTAATTTTCTGATGTGGCCGGTTGGTTGATCAACGTTTATTATTTCTATTAAGTTAATTACACACCACATATGATCAGACCGTATTTATCTTTTAGTGCCATTAATTTTGCTCTCAAAGACACTATTCCTAAACTCATCGAAAACATGCGGATTGAAATTACATGTCTAATTATAGTATCTTAATTGGTGTCTAACCAATCGAATTATGCCATATCATTTAAAAAAATTAAAATATATTTTAACTAACTTTTCTATAATTTAATGTTTAAGTCTATTAAATGATGTGTTATAATATAAGTGGTTAGACACTAATTAAGACACCAAAAATTAAACATGTGATTTGAGTTCAAAACATACATATTCACGTTTGAAAAATTAAACTATTTTCAGAAAATCATGCAGACATATGTCAAAGTTAAACAAGTAAACAAATAAGTAATATTATTGTTATGTATAGTGATCCTCAAACCTCTCAACGTTCTATTTATTCTCATTTAATATGACACGATCCATTTTTAATATTTCATATTTAAAGTGACAGATAGCAGTTCAATGCATGATTGAGTTGTAATGATGCTATAAATTCCGGCAATCTATCCGCAAAGATATGTACCACTATATGTCAACAATTTCTGATTCAGATTCTTATGAAGAGGCATTCAATTGCTTCCCCACACCTTTCTTCACTATTCATCCTCTTTCCCTTTACTTTATTTTGTTTTTCCTTTTTCTCTTTTTTCCACCCTTC